AGTCATTGGACAACCATACCGCGATATCCAATGCGTTATCAGATGATCACATGTCTCTTCGGCCGAGGCTGTCTGGCACGGAACCGCTTCCGCCAACTTTGTGAAGTGATCTATTATAACCAGTATCTGGTTGTATCCCGACTCTGTCATGCAGATTTTTTGATGGTCTATCTGCACCACTTCATTGAACTCCGAGCTCTCAACGGACTTGAGGGGAAACTTCATCTTCCTTGGGTCTTTTACCTGGAGACATGCCAGGCAGGCATTTACCCATCTCTCGCAAGCTTTTCTCATTCCTGGCCAATCAAATCTGTGAAGTATCCTTTGTTGTACTTTGTCTATCCCCTGGTGACCCATCTGGTCGTGTGATCTGAAAAGCACCTCTGTCTGGTACAATTGTGGTAGTATGATGAGGTTGTGTTTGTGTAATATCTTTTCCTCATCTCTCCTCTTGCACGCTACCACTCCATCAGCTGTGTGATAAAGTAAGTCTTTCTTTTCTTTGTAGAACTGGCTCAAGATCTTGTAGCTGTCTTCCTCAAGTTCCCCCTTCTCCTTGACCCCCGACTGGATCCATTTGGAGAGGTTACTTGTCATTTTGTCATTCTTCTGGGCTCTTATTAGGTCTGACAGCCTATATCTTGCCTTGACATGCTCCTTTAGCGCCATGATCTGTCCATTCATCTCACCAGGGTTGTGGATGTCATCACTCAGTTTCACGCATATCATCCTTTTCACGATTTTCATATCATCTTCTGGCACCAGATTAGTTCGTGTTCTCCCTCCTCTCTATCTCACTCTGTTCGAGATCCGTTTCTACTTCTGGCGTCGAGTAATCATCCTGCAGATAATGACCACCATCGTCAATGACCTGCCATTCCTCTCCGGCTTCCAGTTCGCCTGCCTTCAGTAATTCCTCGCCCAAATTGTCTGGCTGTATCTTATCGATCAAGAAGTCATCCCCGTACCTGTTGTACCTCATGCCTGTGCGTTTACGATTGCCAGTCCTGGTTTCCGGTGGTGTTGTTCGATCCGGTTCCATCCATTTAGGCACCTCGTCTTGCTCCGGGTCGTTCCAGTCTTCTTCTACAAATGATCCTGCATCAGACTCCACTCCTATCTTTTCATTGTCGTCCAAACTCAAGTTCTCGTTACCATCATTTTTCTCTCTAGTGCCTTTCTCATTCACTTCACACGCTGGCTCTACCACCAGGTACTCAAGACCCTCCATGTCCTTCGGTATGCACCAATCCTCTGGGGACGGGACGTGAGGCTTCAGATTTTCATAATGTGCCGCTCGCCCAGTACTCAAGCGATAGAACCGTCCTTGTTGATGAACCTCCGTTATCATGAATGGTCCCCTCCACTTCTTGAGTAGTTTCTTTGTTCCCTTGGGCGGTATGACATTTTGGAAGACCCACACGTATTGGCCCACTTCATATGGCTTTGCTCGTAATATTTTTTCGTCGTATTTCCTGCGTCATTTGCGCTTGCGCCGTGTTCCTCCTGCATAGCTCGTTCAACTCCTGTTGTCTTTTGATCGCTTCTTTCACGTATGCCTGAGGCGACGTCCTTTTCCCTTCGTATTCCGGGTAAAAGAATGTCAGAGGCATTGCTCTCTCCCTGCCCGTCAACATCATGAAAGGACTGATGCCCGTAGTTGAGTGCTGTGTACTGTTGTAGGCTCCTACTACCTGTGGCAGGTATTTGTCCCAGTCCGTCATGTATCTTGAGCAGTACACCCTTAACATGTTGACCAGTGTCCTGTTTTGTCTCTCTACCAACCCATTGGTCTGCGGATGATAGGTCGTCGAGTGTGCTTGAGCAATGTGCGATCTCTTCATCAATTCTTTTGTCAAGTCCCCCACAAAAGCTTTGCCGTTGTCCGACTGGAAAGTCATTGGACAACCATACCGCGATATCCAATGCGTTATCAGATGATCACATGTCTCTTCGGCCGAGGCTGTCTGGCACGGAACCGCTTCCGCCAACTTTGTGAAGTGATCTATTATAACCAGTATCTGGTTGTATCCCGACTCTGTCATGCAGATTTTTTGATGGTCTATCTGCACCACTTCATTGAACTCCGAGCTCTCAACGGACTTGAGGGGAAACTTCATCTTCCTTGGGTCTTTTACCTGGAGACATGCCAGGCAGGCATTTACCCATCTCTCGCAAGCTTTTCTCATTCCTGGCCAATCAAATCTGTGAAGTATCCTTTGTTGTACTTTGTCTATCCCCTGGTGACCCATCTGGTCGTGTGATCTGAAAAGCACCTCTGTCTGGTACAATTGTGGTAGTATGATGAGGTTGTGTTTGTGTAATATCTTTTCCTCATCTCTCCTCTTGCACGCTACCACTCCATCAGCTGTGTGATAAAGTAAGTCTTTCTTTTCTTTGTAGAACTGGCTCAAGATCTTGTAGCTGTCTTCCTCAAGTTCCCCCTTCTCCTTGACCCCCGACTGGATCCATTTGGAGAGGTTACTTGTCATCTTGTCATTCTTCTGGGCTCTTATTAGGTCTGACAGCCTATATCTTGCCTTGACATGCTCCTTTAGCGCCATGATCTGTCCATTCATCTCACCAGGGTTGTGGATGTCATCACTCAGTTTCACGCATATCATCCTTTTCACGATTTTCATATCATCTTCTGGCACCAGATTCGTTCTGATGTTTGAGTTGCGTGATAGTTCCCTGAATGGTTTCCTTGCGACCGCAATTTTCTCAAGTTCCTCACCACCTCGCATCTCCTGTATGTCCATGTTGTATGTTCCTGAAGATGGATCCGTCTGTAACTCCCTGTCGTGGTGCCTTGTCTTCTCTTCCGCCAGTATCATGCACAGACTGTCCTGGTTTTCGCTGCTCTCATCCGAGTCTTCATCCCATCCTTCACGCTCCCCGGACAATTTTCCTTCTCCGGTTCCTTCTTCCGTGAACTTGGAACACTCCCCGGACTCTTGACCTAGTCCCAGGTGTTCAGTATCTTCCTTGAACTTCACTTTCTTTTTCCTAACCCTGGTCTGCTCCAGAATGTCTTCGGGGATTTTGTCAACTAGTGACCGCACGACATCTTTGCTGTCAGTGACGCTTCCTCTTGATGAGTCAGTATCGTTCACTGTCTCTTTTCTCCGAAGTATAGTGAATTCCGGTTTCTCTGTACCCTTCTCCTGGATCACTGGCTTATCATCTGATAGTTTCTCGAGCAACCTCATTAAGTCATCATCTATCTGTGCAGTTCCTGCTTCCACCTGGTTAAGATCATAGCCTTTTGCCTTGAGCGTCTCCCTCACGATCTTCGACTTGAGTATAATCTCAATCGGAATCCTCTTGCTCTTCCTCAAGATGGTCTTCTCTGGAGGCTCTTTAGGCAATTCAGGATGATCTTCTATCGGTTTGCCTGACTTGTCCAGCCATCTCGTGAGTGGAAGACTGTCGTACGTTTCCTTGTCCATGAATGAGAAGCCATCTTTGATTTCAGGTCTGTCTGCTTCTCTTTGCTCTTGTCTCTCATAGAACTCCGTCTTCTTACTCAAGCTGTCGGCATTCTGATGTTTATCTCGCGTTCTATGCTCAATTATCATGTTGTATCCGTCCAGGCGAACTATCCACCTCCCAATGTAACTTTGGTCCATTGAGTACGTTTTCAGCCAGCTCAGTGCTCTGTTGTCGACTCGCAACTTGAATGGCTCACTGCCCAGGTATGCCCTGTATTTCTCGACAAAGGTAACCAACGCGAACATCTCAGCTTTCGGTGCTCCGTACTTCATTTCCGTGTCACTCAGGACTTTGCTCCCGTACGCTATTGGTCTCAAGACTGTCTTCCCATTCCATTCTTGTTCTTGGTGGAGAATCCCAGAAATCGCGACCACCGACGCATCCGTGTCCAGCACGTACATCCCTTTCTCAGTCGGCATACCCAGTACTGGTGCCTCACATAGCTCTTTCTTTATCCTCTGGAATGACTCTTCTGCTGCGTTGTTCCACGTGAACTTCTTGCCCTTGTGTCTCATTAATTGTTGCATCGGGTATACCTTGTCTGCATAGCCTTTGATGAACTCTCTATAATAGTTAGCGAAACCCAGGAAGCTCATCAACTGGTGCTCTGTCTTCGGTGATTTCCAGGTCAGGACTGCTTCCACGGCGTCCGTATCAGGTCTGATGCCGTGCTTGTCTACCATCCTGCCCAAGTATTTTATTGAGTCCTTGAGTATCTCGCACTTTGATGGTTTACACTTTAGCCCCGACCTCTTACCACGTCGCTATTACCACGTCATCCACGTAGCACATTACCAGGTTGCCATACTTCTTCGTTACGCCTATCAGCGCGTGTGCCATCAACCGCTGAAACGTGGCTGTGGCATTGCAAAGTCCAAACGGCATCCGTTTCCATTGAAACAGACCCAACTCGCAGGCAAACCCTGTCTTGTCCCTGTCCTGCTTCCTTAGTGGTACTTGCCAAAAGGCCGAGCCTAAATCAAGAGTCGTAAAAAATTTTGCATCACCTAACTTCGAGAGGCTCTCATCAATCCTAGGTATGGGATAGGCATCCTTCACCGTGACGGAGTTCAGGTATCGAAAGTCACAACAAAACCTCAACTGGTCGCCTTTCTTTTTGGCCATCACTACTCCACACGCCCACGGTGACTTGGATGGTTCTATCATGTCATACTCTAGTAACGTCTCGATCTCTTTTCTACACGCGTCCGATTTGTGTGGGGTCATGCGCCTCGCCCCCTCCCTGTGTGGTACCGCGTTTTCCTCAAGTTCTATTTCAGGCTCAACGAAATTACAACACCCGATATCCGCCTTATGCCTCGAAAAAACTTCCTCGTTCCGCTCTAGTACGTCCTTGATGGCTTCGAGCTGTTCATCTTTCAGTTTGCCCCTCAAATGTTCAATCTCCGGCAGGACCGGTCTTTCATTTTGCATTTCATCTAGTGTGGGTCGCTCTGGAAAGTTCGAACAGCTCGAAAGACCATCATCCGTTTCTGACTTAAGTGATTTAATAAGACCTGAAGAATCTTTTATTTTCTGCAATCGTCTCAAGATACAAATTTTGTCCCTGTGATTGGGACAATCAACAACTTCATTTTGTTTTGAGTTCTCAATTGTTTCATATCGAATTTTAACCGGTAAAGCATATCCCAGTTTCCTCCCTCTCTGTATCGTGATCGGTATATCAAGGGTATTCAACAAGACACTGACGCAGAGGCCGCTCTTCGTTATCGAAAATGATCTTCCTAAAACAGCAGCACTTTGACTATTAGGATTCGGAACTATGCACACTTGCTTGTTGTCACTTAGTTCATTGTAATTTTTCATCCTCAAACTTACGATTGCCGCTTCATTAGCTTTTAGCCTCACCCTCCTACTCAAGAATACCGGTGCTTTGTTTTCATTTGCCATTATTAAATTTACCGGTTTGATTGCGTACCTCCTATCCGGGTTCCGTATCCTGAACATTGCGTTATTTAGATCAATCGTTACGTCGAAATTCCTGATGAAGTCTCTGCCCAAAATGAATTGGTCAGATTCATCTAGGTTTTCTACCACGATAAAGCTCATCCACAGGTTACGTTCCCCCAAATTGAGGGCTATTATCGGCGTCCTGCCCAGCACCCGTAGGGCCCCTTTGTTTGCAGCTGACAGCCGTATTCTCGAGTCTATCAAGTCACCTTTGTCAAAGCCCATCTTCTCCCAAGTTTCGATTGGTATAACGCTCAAGACTGCTCCCGTGTCAAGCAACCCACGCAACTGAGTCTTTTTGCCACTTATATCCAGCACGTGCCCTGTCACATCTGCCTCCGTCCCGATGTGCATTGCATCTTCCTCAAGCATGGCGCAGTGTCCAATCGATCTCACTTTCAATTCTTCTTTCCCTACGTAGATTTGTCCAATTAGGTCTTCGTCACATGTTATCATCGTCTTGGTATAGATGTTAATCCCATCTATATTTAGCATCACCTCGTGTGGACCGTAAGCTTCAGTATATCTGCTATCAACACGTACCGACTTGCTGCCCCCTCTCATGAGTAGTGCTCTCAGTGCTCTAGAAGTCGTTTGTGGGCTTATACCACTCAAATAGTCTGCATACACGTCAATGTGCATTATCGTCTGGTCGCTCGGCTCGCTCAAGTTTCTGGTTACCTCGTGGCCGCCCACTGTGATTATCGACATTATCCTTGCCCCGATTTTCGATATGCCAAAAGGTTTACCTGTCACCATTTTCACAGTATTGCAATTCCCGGTCTTTGTTGAGCCTGGTACAGCCTCTGGTATTTGTTTCGATCCAGTTAATGCTTCGTTAAAATTCTGTCTTTCTATCTCCAGCTTTAGTCGTTGCTCTATTTCTTTCGCAGCCAGATCCTGTTTCACTTTGGCAATTGCTTCCGTCGCCGCTTTCTCATAATTTATCTCTAGAGACTTCCCTGCCGCGGATTCTATGGCATCATTAACATGTGATACAGCCTTCACTGTCTTCGTCGGCAATTCCGTGCTTGGTGCTCCTAAGTTCCTCGATTCAAATTCGTTTTGCCTGTTCCGCTGATTCTGCACCGCCGCTAATGCCAACTTATGTTTAGGGTGACTCTGGTCCTTGACCGCTTCCCAGAACAAGGGACAATCCATTCGGAAGTGCCCCTCCTGGTTACAGAAGAAGCATCTTGCGCCTATCTTGATGATTAAGCCACTATAGTACTCGTGTTCCTCCATCTGGCTCATGTCCTCCTCATCTGGTGCATATCCTAGACTCTTCATGCCTTGTTTGTATGTTGTGCAGTCAGCCACGTGGTGATCCGCCGATCCGCAGTTCGCGCATGATCTGCGCTTGTCCATGTCATCTCTAGGTTTGTACCATGACGACCTCTGCGGTTGACTTCCCCCTTGCGTGTTCCTGTTTTCTGAATACGAGTATTTCTTGGGTTTCATCAGCATGTATTCCCTTGATTTCTGTCTCATTTCTTCTGGGGTTGGTGCGCTGTCTTTCGACAATGTATAGTATGTTGCTAACATTGTCCTTAAGTCGTCACTTTTTACCCCATCAATGAACTTCGAGGCAATGCTAAAGTTTCTTCTGTTTGTCGACTCCTCTGGGTCACTCCTTCTTCTCAAGCTCTCGAGATCATCTAGGAACCGATCTATTGACTCGTCGTCCCTCTGCCTTCTCTTTTCAAATCGCATCATCGCTTGGTGACCCTTCATGCCTGACCCGAATCGATTCAGCAATATCTCGAAGATCTTGTCCGCGGTATCGCGTTCTTCTTCTTTCTTCGCCACCACGCATTTTAATGCTGTGCCTTCTAAATTGCTGAGTATGGCTGTGCATGCTTGTCTTTCATCGTTCAAGTTGTCTTGCTCTAGATGTAATCTCATCACTTCCACCCACGTGTCAATGCATCCATCTGAGTCGTCTTTGAATTCTTTTGGCTTCTTGAATGTTTTTCTTGATTTCCCATCTCTCCTATCGCTCGAGTTAGTGTTCCTCGTGGCGAAGGCCTCTAGAGTCCTGTTCATCATCTCCCAAGTGTTTGCCCATGTCATAGCATCCGGACCTGCGTTGTTGTTAGCTGTTGAGTCCCCCGGACCAGTCGTTGTACTTGACATTCCATTCTTCATGATTGTTTTAGCAGCTGTTGGTGCTATGCTCACCGTATCCCGGGTTAAGGGCAACGGTGTCGATTGCCGTTTGTTCCTTTGTGGTTCCACAAAGTCAACTCTGGTGCCTTGCGTGCGATCCGCTGCCGGTCTTTCTTGTGAGGTAGAATTACTCAAGATTGCATCCAATTTCGCCTGTATTGCACACGAACTCTCGGCCTGATTTTTGCTCATTGTGTCCATTCTCTTTTCCAGGCTACCTAATTGGCTGTTGACATCATCATATCGGTTTTTTAACTGTTGCAAATCTTTTTTGATGTTCTTATCTCGTTCTTCATTGGTGGTTTCTACATTATCTGACATCTCCTTGAGTCTCTCTTCTGTTGCCTTGGCCAGGTTAAAATAACTATCCAGATACTCGTTTTTGTTGTATCTTAATTCTTTTCTTATCACTTCTCTGTCCTCTTCGCTGTGCTTCAGCTTTTTGTCGATCTGATTCAGTTTCGCCATCAAGTCACCTAGCTCAAGAGTAGCCTCTTCATGGTCAGCCGTCGGTCTTTCTTCGGCCGTCGCTCCTGCTCTAGTTTGTTCCTCTCTCGGATTGGCTTCTGTCGTCTTCGTGCTTACTGTTCCAAATGTTCGTGCTCTTTCAGCTTTTGGTTCTTCAGTCACGTTCTCTTTCGTTTTTATTCCGACCATCATCGCCAACCTTTCTGTAAAAGATGTCTTTTTTACTTGAGAGTCTTCTTTCACCGTTTCTTCGGTGTTGCCTATTGCATCTTCCACGTTGTCTATTGGTGAGAATTCTATGGGTTTCGAGTTTAGTTCTTCTGCATTGGGCATTGGAGTTGACTCCGTCGCTATTTTCCTTGTTTCATCAACACTTTGATCAGGTGTCTCTAGATCAATCTCGATGGTGGGTTCTACTCGTTCCCCTTCCATGCCCTCTCTTGCTCTCTCCGTTGTACTCCTTGTGCTGACCATGTTAACTGAAAAGTTCTTCTTTGTTATCTTTGGGCCCATTGATGTTGTTTTGCGTAGCGACGAATTATACTTTGCTTCGGTAGGTCTTTTTTCAGCTACCGGTACCCTGCTCCGCCTCATTATTTCTATTTACATTTGTTCTTATTTACAATTTTACTATATACACAATCCTATTCTAAGAATAAAATCTTTCGAGAAAAAAAAAATTCTTAAAAAAATATACAACGTGGTGAAAACCTTGTTTCAGTTCTCTTTATTAACTTTTCGAGAAACTTTCCTTATTTGTGGTCTCAACCGTACCTGGTTCCAATTAGTCTTGTTCTATCTTAATTCTGTCTTAAAACACTTCTTGTAATTTTACTTCAATTTTTATACTGTCCCAAGACTTCCAATTGCCGTCCCTACTCTTCTTTGTACCGTCCCAGGCTTCTTTCTCCTGTCCCAAGACTGTTCGGTACCGTCCCAGTACTTTCCGGCAGTGTCCCAAGACTCTTGTTCAAGACTACTGTCCCAAGGCCAGTGTCCCAAGACTACTGTCCCAAGACTAGTGTCCCAAGACTAGTGTCCCAAGACTACTGTCCCAAGACTAGTGTCCCATGACTAGTGTCCCAAGACTACTGTCCCAAGACTAGTGTCCCAAGACTACTGTCCCAAGACTACTGTCCCAAGACTAGTGTCCCAAGACTACTGTCCCAAGACTCCCGTCCCAAGACCCTGTCCCAAGACCCTTTTCCCAAGACCCTTGTCCCAAGACCCCGTCCCAAGACCCTGTCCCAAGACCCTGTCCCAAGACCCTTGTCCCAAGACCTTGTCCCAAGACCTTGTCCCAAGACCCCGTCCCAAGACCTTGTCCCAAGACCTTGTCCCAAGACCCTGTCCCAAGACCTTGTCCCAAGACCCTGTCCCAAGACCCTGTCCCAAGACCCTTGTCCCAAGACCTTGTCCCAAGACCCCGTCCCAAGACCTTGTCCCAAGACCCTGTCCCAAGACCTTGTCCCAAGACCCTGTCCCAAGACCCTGTTCCAAGACCCTTGTCCCAAGACCTTGTCCCAAGACCTTGTCCCAAGACCCTGTCCCAAGACTGCTCTCTCCTAAGACTTCTTCGGCACTGTCCCAAGACTGTTGACAAGTGTCTGGGTGGTGGGACTTCTTTCCTCTTCGTTATGGGGACTTATTGATTCGCCGTACCTTGTACCACCACTCAAGCTCTAGTAAAATTTTCCCAAAATCCTCTCTTAAAAGCCAAATGCTGGCCCCCCTTTTTTATTTCTCTTTTTGGCTACCTCTATTTCAATGTTCCAAGTAACTTGAGACCAAAACCTGTGCGCAGGTATCTTGTGATCACCTGTTCGTACAAAATTTTAACACAAATCCTCACCAAAATGCAACAAAAATCTAAGCAAGAAAAAGTAATAAAAACAGAAAGATGAGCCCACCTAAAATTCAAAGGTGACAAATGTCTACCTTCTATCGAAAAAAAAATGTCTGGTACCTAATTGCCACGCGTTTCCTTCCCCCCTGCTAGCGATCTTATGGGGTATTACAAAAACTGTCTATGTCACTTCCCCCCTACCAATCCGACCGGGGTACCTTCCTTAACTCGAGTTCAAATTTCGATATCCACCTAATATTACCAACGCGTGTTAATGTCTGATGTAACTAAGTCAACGATGTCGACTAATTAGTTACTCTAATTTCCCTCCTTTTTACAATTTACAACCGCCAACCTCTAACTTAACCAGCCCCCCTTCTAACCTCCCCCCTTTTTAGCCCCCCTTCTTAAGCCTAAAATTACCTTAAGCGCCGGGTGCTAAACCTCTCAAGAGAAAACCGTAGACCTGTCTCCAGGCCTGCTCAAGTAAAAACGTTCCTCAAAACCGGGGGATGTCGCTTATCCTATTTTACACTTATCTCCTATAATGTAATGTGGATTTTAACGATACCCGTTCTGCCCAAATTGAGAACTCGAGAATTGCCAAATCCTTCTTGGCTGCTTTCCCACTCGACTGGTCACCTGTTCCAGTCCAGTCTCCTATTGGTTCAGCTCAAGTGTCCCTGAACCACCTTCCCACTCGGCTGGTCACCTCTTCCAGTCAAGTCTCCTATTGGTTCAGCTCAAGTGTCCCTGAACCACTTTCCCACTCGGCTGTTCACCTCTTCCAGTGAAGTCTCCTATTGGTCCAGCTAAGTTCCAAGCTATCTGAAAACCCTTGACAACGCCCCACACTCGGGCACTTTATTCAGTTTACTGGTTTAAATTGCTAGGTTGATCGAAACGATCGAACTTGTAAAACAGTATGGGTATACTATTTAATTAATATAAAGGTTTGATCCAACTAATCTGGTGTCAAAGTCACTGTCTTTTTTCGTTTTATGGTTTTTGTTCCTTTTTCTATTCTTTTTTGGTTTTTGTTTTGCTTTTTATCTTTTTGCTCGTGTTTTTGTCCCCCTAGTTGCCCCCCTTACTCGGTTAGCTAAGCCTCGTTTGGAGAGCGTACCAAGAAATTTTCTCGAGTTTTCTTAAAAAGCTATCACGGTACAACCGGAAGGCTTACACCTTCCCCGCTGAACCGTACCACCGGTACTCTAGAATGGGCATGTAGCCAAGAGCTGTGTCAAGTGGGTTCGACTCCGTAGTCATGATGTCGCAAAAACACCCAGGAGCGCCATAAAAACACTATGTAACAGTCGCCTACTTCGGTCACATATGAGCTTAAAGAAAAATAGGCCCTATAACCATTGGCTCAAGAGTCAGGGACACTATCTCTTGTGTTTTTCTACCTCGAACGGTCGGAACCAATTCGGTTCACTTGCGACATGAGACTAAAAACCAGTAACCACTACCAAAATATGTAACATTCGTCTACTGCAGTCACACATGAGGCTTAAGAAAAATAGGCCCTATAACCACTGGCTCAAGGGTCAGGGACACCATCTCTTGTGTTTTTCTACCTCAAGAACGGTCGGAGCCAGTTCGGTTCGTTTGTGACATGAGACTACGACCCGTTACAGCTCAAAGGCTACTACTAAAATATCCCCCCACTCTAGAATTAGAAACGTCCCCATACTTAGGTCTCTAGATACCCAAAATACATGAACGCCGTTAAAAACCGGGTTGGAACAAACCGTTAAGTTACTTTTTATTAGACAGTGTAACTTTGATCCATTTCAGATGGATCAACCTAAAACTCGCCTTACCTCAACATAACAATTATAAAACACACTCTAGAAATTTAAATTAGTACTCACATTGTAGCACACTCAAGAAGGGGAAGTACTTCAGTCGGTAATTAACTCAAGAATTAAATAATGTAACTAAATGAGTTTTAATGTTTATCAGTTTCAATAACGAGGACAAGTCTTAACTCTAGGATATAGTTTCTCGTGAACCAATGGGACACTCAAGTTGTCCACCTTTCCGTCGAAGGTTCACTCTGGTCCAGCTCAAATAATCGTTCTCTCGGGAATACTCTGTCTTCTATTTCAGATGGGACAGCTCTACTCTTGTTCACTATGATGGAAATTGCGAATAGCAATTTCCTACCGATTTCTCTTGCAACTTTCCCGCGTTTTTCACTCGAACGTTCTGACTTCTCTTTTCTGATTTTCAGTTATCGCGAGAAAATCGTGCATGACAGGTTCCATTCGAAATTGTGAAAAATTAAATTTCACTCCAAAATCAAGTGTTTTTTGCTTCTCTCAAGGTCAAACTTCCGAATATGACCGACTGGCACAATACCCCCCCCCCCCACTCTAGAAAATAAGAACGTCCCCATACTCAATTCTCAAAATACCCAAAATACGCGAACGCCGTTAAAAACAGGGTCGGAACAATCCGTACAGTTTCTTTTATTAGACAGTGGAACTTTGATCCATTTCAGATGGATCAACCTAAAACTCTCCTTACCTCACCATAACAATCATAAAATACACTCAAGAAAATTAAATTGGGTACTCACATACCAGCACACTCCAGAATCAGAGGTAACTAAATTAGTAAGCAACTTGAGAATAATTGGGGAATTAAGTTTGATTCATTAAGTTCTAATCGAACAAGTTTTATCTCGAGAATGGAGTTTTGGTTCTGGACCATTGGGACACCTCGGCTGTCCACTTTTCCACCGAAGGTTCACTTTGGTCCAACTGAATTTCGATGTTCTTTGTTTTCTGTATCAAGATAGGACAGCTCTACTCTCGTATTATTTAGATATCGGAAATTGCGAATAGCAATTTCCCGCTGCTTAAATTGACCACTTTCCCGCGATTGTAATGTGGTCGTTCTGATCTTGTATTTTTGAGATTTTCAGTTTTCGCGAGAAAGTTGGTCATGACAGGCTCAATTCGAATTTTTGAAAAATTAAATTTTATCCCAAAATTACGTAGTTCGTATTCCTCAAGGTCAAACTTCCAAATATGACCGACTGGCACAGAAGCTCCAAATGTTTTAAATTGCTTTGTGCTTACGGAATAGTAGGTTGTGGCGGGGGGGGGGGGGGTAGCGGAATTTTTTCCGCTCAAAACGTTTTATAGCTTAAGCTTAGTTTTGATTGTTTTTTCGCCTTAACTTTCGTCTACCCAAATTTTGTCTTCTCAGCATCCAATTCAGTTCAGTTGTTTTTCTGATCTTTTAGGCGTTTTTTCGCCTCCCTCGATCAGCTCATAATGTACTCCTTTCGCTTAATTCGTCTCAAATTTATTAATTCCGCTTTTCTTTCAATATTTGTCCAGGTTGTATCCGCTTAATTAACTTTGTTCTTCATGCCGTTTTACCACTGGCAGTTGTAATTTTACTTAAATTTTCCCGTATTGCAGGCAAACGTTATAAATACTAAGTCTTCTTGTTATTATTTGCTTATTCTATTCAGCTTGCGTCCTTTTTTTGGTCTAGCTGGCGTGCCTTTTTGTTGAATCACAAGTGGTGCGAAGCTCCGTTTCGCCTCTGTGTATATTTTTGAAGTGATCCGTAAAGAAACTTTGTATTTTAGTGTCTAGTTGATATATTATGGACAGTCTTTTCGCTCTTGAAACAGAAGTTCTGCAAAAATCTCACGCTGCAAAGCAACAGCGAAACGGCGTTTCTGGGCTCAAGTTTAAGAACCAGGAAAATATTTCAGTTAGCAGCAAATCGGCCTCCACTACAAGAGTGATGCAAACTGTAGATGATAGCTCTGATTTGAAGAAAAGCAGGGCAATGCTGGAAGCCAAAACTATGTTCTACGAAAAAATGCAGAATTCGAAAGGAATTGGAAGTGATGGGTCCAAGAGGTATCTAGTGGACTTTGAAAGTAAAATATTGGAAGATACTACCAAGGTTGAACAGCTGAAACAGAAAGGAGAAATTGTGTGCGAAGAACTTGAAGAAGTATTTGCTCCAGTGCATTATCAGCATCTGCGCGAAGACGAAGCTCGCGAGCTCGGGGTGGGGTATTTCGAGTTTTCGCTTGACGAGGATACTAGACAAAATCAACTGGATATGTTGAAAGAGCTGCACAAAGAAACAAAAGGCAAACAGAAAACAAAGGAGCAGGAAGCAAAGCGGAGGCAAATTGCTATTCAAGAACGATTAAACAAAATCAGAGCTAAAAAGAATTTGCCTCTGGTGGAACCCAATTGTTCAACCGAAGATAGAGCTGATAATGATAAAGATTATGACAATAAAGAGTCCGTTTCAGAGCTGCATCAGAATCGAGCTGAACATAAAGCAAATGCTTTGAACCATAACAGAGAATGGGACAGTAAAAAAAGAACACTAGCAGAAGTAATTGACGCTAAAATCAAGAAAGCAAAAGAAGAGAGGGACCCAGATTTTGCACCCCCGCAAATTTATCAAGAGTCGACTTCCTACAGTTCAACTTCGAGTTATTCAAATTCAATTAGAAACATTCCTGGAACAGGAAGCTTTGTTTCTTCAACAGGAAATGCGATGAAGTCTATAGAGTCAATGTACGACAATGGACCAAAGAATTTGAAGTCTGGTTTGTGTTTGCCGCGAGAAGGACAGATTGCTGGACTTGTCATCGGCGATTCTATTCAAAAACGGGTCATATCTGAGAACATCAGCAACTATGTGTTTGTGCGAGGATTTGGCGGAGCCAAGGCAAAAGACATTTGCGAAAGATTGTCTTTTACACCGGTTAGAAAAATTAAGCACGTCATTTTCACAATAGGATTGAATGATGCTCTAGCTTGCAGCCACGATGATCTGGAGTTCCGAGTCTACTTCAAGAAGAGCATAGATTTAGTTCATCAAAAGTTCAATCCGGATGTGCTTCAAATAGGAACAATTACACCAACCAGAGGAGACTTAAGTCACGTTAATTCTTATATAGATAGAATTAATGCCCTCATAAAAGAGCTGTTTAATGAGCTTTCGTTTCAAGACACGAATATGCAACTTCTGGATGTCCATGCAGCATTTCAATTAGCAATATCGCCGATATGTCAAGACGGCGTGCATCCGTCAACAGAAGGTGTAATGGTTTTAGTACAGTGCTACCGCCAGCAGTTTGAAGCGTCCGGAATCGAAATTAACTGGGATCAAGAAGTAACTGTCCGGCAACCGCCTGAAAAGGAAAAGAGAAAATTATAAGAACATTTTTTCTCTAAAATTTTATATATCCACTATTGTAGTATAGACTAAATGTTACGATTTCTGTTTACTCAACCAACGCTTGTTGAAATACCAGTCTAATTTTTTCAACCAAAGTCACACATCGGTACACAGATTTCGTCCCAAAGTATTTTTGCGATTTTCATATCAGCGTGAGTTGTAAGTTATGAGGACCAAATCATTGCTTCCTAGTTAAGTAGTTTGGCACGTGAAAGTATGAGTAATTTCCAGAGTAGAAATTGCTAGATGTCATTTTTTGAAGTTTTTTCGCATAATAAGTGGTACGTTGAATTATATCCCCTAATATGCGAAGTAATTTTTTATTGCTTTATTATTGCGAGCACGACACGAGGTGACTGGAAGGAGCTATGACTGAGAATAGGTTTTTCCTGATATTAAGTTCTTCAAATAAAGACGGTCTATGTGATACTAGGTACTCAAGTTTTATAGGTATTTTTTTTTCTTATCTTAAGAGCTTCCCTCTTAACTTGTGTTGCGATGTTCAGTTTCGCCTCGTGTTTATTGAAACATCTTACAAATATTTAGTCTCATTGTTCTTAAGTTTAGTCTTAATAAAAGTAAATTTAATAATTTTCCAGCAATTTTATTTCAGTGATTCTGTGGTCCTTTATAGTTTAACAAACCATGACCAAAGTTTTCTTTTTCAGACAACGATGTTTTCTTTTGGAGCCAAATCAACAGCGTCTGGAACAACAAGCACTGGTGGTCTCTTTAGTAGTCTCTCAAAACCGCAGACATCAACTCCAGCTTTTTCCTTTAACCCAACTAGTACAGCAGGAGCTTCACAACCTGCAACTGGGTTGAATCTAAACTTCGGCTCAACGACAGGCACATCAACAGCAGGAGGTCTGTTTTCGTCACAACCAGCGTCTGGCTCTACTGGAAATACAAGTCTCTTTGGAGCTGCGAACCCTGCTAAGTCATCGGCTCCGTCTTTATTCGGTGGCTTGACAAGTACGAGCACATCCACTGCTGGAGGACTTTTTGGAGCCAAGCCCGGGACCTCGGGTGGTCTATTTGGATCTTCTTTAGCTACTCAGCCTGTGACAGCGTCGACGCTTTCACAGTTTAAAGGATTAGGAGGAACTGATTCTTTGACTACCGTTTCAAGCACAACCGGTCAAAGTGGTATAGCAAATGCAAATCAGAGCCAGCAACCGAAATTAGCAAAAGAGGCGGCTGTACCTCCCGAGCTTCTGCAGCATGTGGAGGCGTTGAAGAAACACATAGAAGAAGAGAAAAAATACCGCGATGAAATTGGGAAAAACTCCAGTGCGAAGCCTCTATTTGAGATACAAAGTGAAATTTCAAGCCTGAGGAATGAAACAGTTATGGCGTTCAGCATTGTTCAGCGCTCTTTGAATTACGCCAACAGTATAAAAGAAGAATTCAACAGGGAGCTCAAAAATTTCGAAATGATTTCACGCGTTCGAGAAACGCCCATCACACTGCAAGATGTCCACCATAATCCAATTGCATACTTTCAGCAAAAGACGGATTTCTTTTTCAATCAGATGGTCAATTTGTCAGACCAGTTGCATCTTGTTGAAAAATTTTTCACGGAAAGACACGGCGCCGTTACTACCGAAGAATTTGTTGCTGGCTTACACCAAATTAACGAAGTATTCATTGGCCTGGTTGGAAAGTTCCAAGTTATGCAAGAAAAAGTGTCTCAATTAAAGACAGAGTATTTGCATTACAGAAAAGTGACTCATAGAGACTCAACTGATGTTTTTAAACAATTGCAGAAAGAGTCTGTGCATTTAAATCTATCTGCTCTTTCACCGACAAAGTATCCCGACGTTAAAAGTTTAGAAAAAGGCGGCGACGTTTCATATAGCGGAAAGACAAACGTGTCGTGTACCGTTGGTCCGAACTGCTTCACAGCTGCATGCTCAACCAATACAAACGCTGTGATAGGAAAACCAGGTCTTTTCGCAGGCGCCAATGTATCGAGCAGCGGTATTGGTGCTTTGAACTCAACTGGATTTTCAACGTCACTTTTTGGAACTCCAAGTCAATCGACAACAGGTGGACTTTTTGGAGCTCAACCTTCATTAGGAGTGACCTTTGGATCGCCTGCTACTACTAGCCCTTCCTCAAAACCTGGAACTAAACGAAATAAGAGCAAATGAGTGCCATAAATTATTTGAAGAATTGTTTTTGTTTGTCTAGATGAGTGTAATGATACTTTAAAGTTAAATTTGATCCATTGATTTGTAAAATCTCTTTAGTTCTAAAACTTTAGTATATTCCTTTAGAATTTGGTATAAATGGTTTTTGGCCATGTGACCCTGATCAAATTTAATCAAATTTCCTTCATTAATATGAAATAAGTTTTGAAAAGGTAATATGTGAGACTAGGGGGTGGACCTTGTATTTTCACGAGTAGGGGAGGGGGAGGGGGCGAATTTTCAACTAAGTTGAAAAACTTGGCTGTTTTTTTTTTTAAATCGAAATCATAAAATTTTATTTAAAGCCTATTTTACCAAAATTTTCTGCACCGCCTAAATTGCCGTTTGTGATGAGTTTTTGGAAGGTTTTAGGCGCTTTTGGAAATATTATAGGACTGATCGACCAAAATTGGATGCCATAAAATAGTAGCTAAGAGGACCAATTTTTCAGAGGAGTTGTGATTACTTTAGTCCATCAACATGTCTGAACTCGAATCAATGGTACAAGTTGAAAAGGCTTTCCAAAAGCAGAAGTCCTACACCGTGTCTAAGGAGATGGTGGTCAAGGGAACACACAAGAGGAAGCGCTGGTTCAAGGACATCGGCCTGGGATTCAAGACCCCCAAAGAGGCTATCCGAGGTCAATATATCGACAAGAAGTGTCCATTCACTGGACAAGTGAGCATCAGAGGCCGAATTTTGAAAGGAACTGTGAAGAAGATGAAGATGCACCGAACTATTGTGATCCGACGTGATTATTTGCACTGGGTGAGGAAATACAACAGGTACGAGCGAAGACACAAGAACATCTCCGCTCACTGCTCTCCCTGCTTCCGAGATGTGGAGATGGGCGACAACGTGACAGTAGGCGAATGTAGACCCCTCTCCAAAACTGTCCGATTCAACGTGATCAAGGTCACCAAGCCAGGAGGCAGTGGCAAGAAAGTGTTCTCCAAGTTCTAAATTTCGAGTCAGTTTATGAATTGAAGTTTTGAGAGCCTCTCTTAAACTTTTTTTTGAGTGAGATGGTTCTACAAGAAGAAAAGTTTATTTCTCACTTTTTTGAACAGCTCTTTGTAACTGATCGAGAAGTTCACCTCAGACTTAGGTTTGCATTCACAACGTACACGAGAAGAGGGAGTTGTAACGGATCTCGTAATCAGTTGCGTAGAGCGCAAATATTGAAAACAATGAATTTCAACTCTCGGACCGGAACAAAATTCTTATTTTTTCTGTGTAATTCTAATTCTGCTCTCCCAAGGTGAAGGTTAATAGTCTCTTACAGGTTCATTGATGCTTATTCTTGATTAATATGAATAATTGGGGGCTTAATATTTCAGGGCAATTTATTGGCAAAAAGCTGCTTTATCACAATTTAAAGAGTCGATGAACGCAGTGAAGACTCTTATATTAGGTCGTGATGATTTTTTCGGGAAAAATCTTTAAATTGTCTACGCGTAAATTTGATTTTTCGCGGTTTACTTTCAATTTTTTTCCAAGTTCAGTTCATTCCTTTGTTGAAAGTAAAGCAATTTTCACTATCAATCTGCAAAAGGTCACGAAATTGGGACCAAGCTCTAATTTTGGACGTGGGTTTTATTTTATGAGCTTGCGATTGCGGGCGGTCGACTTTTTTACCCGTAAACAACTTTGATCTTATGACCCATATGGACTCATCTCCTGGCGATACTTTGGATCATAGTGAATTCAAGTTTCTTTGCATCTCCGGCACACTGCGTCTCATAGTAGATTCAAGTTTCTTTGCGTCTCCGGCACACTTCTTTGCGTCTCCGGCCTAATTTTTGGCTGCTCATGTTATGTCGGCTTAGTTGTCACATCTTAGAATCGTTTTTTTTGCATTACGCTATTTTCATTGTACTTGCTCTTGGTGTTTTTTTTTTTTAAATACTCTTGCAATTTTATTACCTTGACCTCATACTTTTTTGTTGCGCTTAAGAATTTTGTTCGGCCCATTTATTTCAGCGTATCTTTTATCGACATGTTTATTTTAAAGCAAGGGTGTTGCAACCGGATTTTAGACTTTTTTCCACGTGCATAACCTTGGTCACAGAATGGTAAATATTTAGAAAGACTTTTGAAATGGTAAATTTACAAGTATGCAGCGTTTTTGATTTGCCTGTATAGGGCTTGCATTGCAGCGGGTTGATGCAAATCGTTTTGACTTGTTTTGCTGAAAATATTTAAGTGTCGGCTTTAATTCTTTCGACTTATTTGCCTTATGTTTTCTTAAATTTGTTTCCAGTCGTTTTTTTGTTTTAATTTAAATTTGATAAGGTATGTTTGAGTTTGATATAAATTCTCCATTGAAAAATGTTTTAAAATTGAAAAACGTTTTAAAAAACATTATTTTTAAATTTATGATAAAGTTTGTTCGAATATTTTCCTCAATACTTCTTGATCGGCCTGCTGTTCTTATCATTTTTTCCGGCTAAGGTAATCAAAGTCGCAATTTTTATTCGCAATTTTTCAGCGTAATTTTTAATCAATTTTTTCGTCAATTGATTTTTATTTGGTTTTATGTGCTTCCTAGCCTCTCTATTTTTGTAGAACGATAAATTCTCTAAGCGAGAGACTCGGTTTTAGGAGGCCTTAAATGCTATCAGATCACAAACTACCTTTAAATCGTTTTAATCATGTTTTGCTCGTAATTTTCAGATTTTTTTTTTAAATAAAAAATTTGGTTGGTTTGCGCTTCTTGTTTCTAATACTTTAAATGTTTTTCTGTCTGTATAGTAGTTTTTTCATTTGAAATTCAAGTTTAGGCGGGATAATGTGATTTATTTATTTCGTTTTGTATACCTACTTGATAATAAGGAAAAAAAACTGAAATGGACGAGAGTTTTTTCGCCAGCATGTTTCTTTTGGATGTTTTTGTCGTCTTAGTCTGTTTGGACTTAGTTCAGAGCAGCTTTTCATTCTAATTCCTCATGATGTCTGAGAATTCTTGCGTGCTAAATGATTCAAATTAATGGTACATCGATTTTTTGACAAAATCAAGAGTTTCAACATTTTCTGGTTTTTTATTTTCAACATTTTCTGTTAAACCATTTACCCCCCCCCCCCCACCCCACCCCACCCCCCGTAATGACCAATTGAGCAATCTCCCCCCCCCCCCCCCCGCCGTAATGATCAATTGAGCTATCTCTCCCCCCAGCAAAACGGTAAAACGCTACAAAACGACGTCAGCAAACGCAATCCATTGACCGAGTAAAGTTTAATTTATATGAGTTTAGAGAAAAATTTGAAAAAGAAAAAAATCGAATTTTTTTTCTTAACTTTTTTTGCGCAAATTTTTGTTTGTGCGACCATGGCCTCATCGAGCAAAGCGACTTACCAGGGCTGGTGCTCTAGCCTTATATCTGAATATCAAAAACTGTTTTCCGCAGGGCATTAAAATTGCTTTTTTCCCTTAAGGACAGAAAAAAGGCGTTTTATGCGACCCAAGTCGCCTTAGTTTTATTAATTCTTTTTTCACCCTGAATGTAATTTTTGAGCCTTGATATTGTAAATTTTGGCGTTCCACTATAGTTGAAGAAACTGATTTATGATTTGATATCATTCAAACATTTTTGAAGTGGTTATAAACATGTCTCAAGTACCTATAAAACTATCTCCCCACCCCCCCCACCCACGCGAGAATGGGGGGGGGGGTTGCTCAATTGATCCGATTTGCGTAATGACATTATGAGGCGGTTGTTCTTGTAATTTGACAAATGCTGTGAAGAATGTCATCGAAGAAATAGACATCTAGTAATAGCAACAGACTGTCTGTTGGACTCCATATGCATGTTAAACTGTGACTGTGACAGTACATGGTCTTTGCCATTGTCCATTATGCGTGCATGCCTCATTGTTTGTAGTATGCTTCCCACCTGCTGTAGTAATTTATCCCGAGAAGGTTTTGGTCTATTTAAATTTTTAAATGAATATGCTGCGCCAAGTGTGAAAATCGTGAATGCGCAGGGAAATTGTATGGGAATTATACACCGATGTAATGCATTTGTCACTTTTTCTATTTTAAACAAATATGTGTTGGAGGTTTTGCGTTAGCCGTCAATTTCGGATAATAAAAATGCCAGCGTCAGCGTTGCAACAAAAAGTAGCCAAGCTTCCCGTAACAGCTTTGCTTTTCTGGAATACAGAGAACATTTCCAATTTATGAACTGGCAGGTGAGTTCGATTTATATACTTCTCTACGTAGTATAATATAGTTAAGTTCTACAAATACCACGTAGCTAAAATAGATCTAAGTCACCATGCAAATGACTGCGCTATGAGTTTTAACTCCGTGATCCTAGTTTTCACATCCTAGTTTTCACAAGAACCAAACTTTTGCTGCTAAATTGAGTTTGTAAAGAAGAAAATTTGTTTGATTTTCGAAGCAAGAGATATCCGCATATTCTAAGTCACCTGCAAAAGTGTTTTATGGAGCTTTCGGACTATACGAGCAGTTGTTCTTGCTTTGGAAACTGACTTAAGAAACTTCACCAATCAGTATTGACGTAAAGAGTTTCCTATTTCGTAAAATGGTTTAACATTTCTGGGCTTGTAACTTTAAACCGTATAAAAATTGCTATCGTTTTTTATGTTTTTTTTTGCCAAAGCATTTTTTGCGGTCATGCAAGCATTTTTTTATAAATAATGGTGTTTTCAGCAATAATCAAAGACCTTTGACCAAAAAGTTTTTAGAAATTGTGACACGTTTTCCGACACAACCTTTTGGATTTGTTTTTCAGAATTTGAACCATGACAAATAGGTCTTAATATGATACCAAACTTGACTTCCCACCTAAAAGTATTTTCAAGGTGTAATAAACTGCGACGGAAATTTTTTTGAAAAGGTATCTTCTAAGAAGGGGGCTTGGGTAATCGAAATTTCAGCGTGTCGTAAATAATGTCAAATATCGATACCATTTTCAGTGTTACTTATCAAAGTATTACTATGCTTGCGATTAGCTAGCGTTATCAATTTGACATATAGACGTTTTTTTTACTGGTAAACAACTTGTCTAACAGAACTATTGAATCATTTCAAATGTTCAATTTTGCAAACTCAAAAACTTTTCCGTTTGAAAAAATAATTGTCGGACTATCGTTTGTCTGCTTATCTGTTTGCCTGATTAGTTGACACATCGCGGAATTTTTAAAGCAATTTGAACTATAATTAAGTATTTTGATTTGTTCCTGGAATTGTAAATTTAACATCCCTGGTTTTGTATAATTTCCTCTCGCTTTTTTACGCCTAGGTTTATACGACTAGATTGGTTTTGAATTGATTATATCGGCTTAGTTGCCCAGCTTTTTTTGTTTGCCTAGGATTTTTCAGCTTAAATACTGCTCAATAATTTCTTTCGAATGCTTATTTTACGCTAAAGATTCTGTTTCTCGGCATGTTTTTTTTCAATTCAAGGTTTTGTCGATGACTTCTATTACATACATTTAGAACTTTTTAATTGACTTAGTTGTTTCAGTTACATTTTCTGTCAGCTAGCTTGGAATGTGGCATTGCAAGTAGTCTAATCGAAAATTCGGTTCATTTTTTGAAAATTATCAAAAATGCGCTTTCATTTTAGTGCTGATTGGTCAATTCTAATAAAAACAAACAAGAAAATCCTCTCATATAATTTCACAATGCGAGGGTACTTGTAGGTGAAATTATACGCGTAGACCTGAAGTTGTTTGTAGGGAGCAGTGAAATAGAGTTCAAAAAGACTGTGACTGATGTTAGGCTCTAAGTGCACAGGAATTTGAAGTGGGATGAACACAAAGAGAAACAAATTGTGCTCTTTCGATTGTTCATTTGGGTATCCAGCTTAGTTTCCCCATGTCTGCTGGCTTCGTAAGTTAGAACAGCTTAATTATCAGGACTTAGGTGGTCATATGGATGGTTAGTTTTTTGCACTCTCTTAGATTAAACACGATTATCTTGCAGGTGGTCATATGGATGGTTACTTTTTTGTATCACTTAGATTATTCGAATATGATGCCAATTTCTTACCAACTCATCGAGAGAGATGTACGTTTTTTAGCACCATCATATTAGGCAAATTGCATTCATTTTGACGATTGTTCTGTCCTTCGGACGTCGAAGAGGAGTCTTCGTAGCACCCAGATTCTCCAACTGAAGCGTCTGTATGTGCACAAGCAGTGGACAAAGTCGTCTTTTTTCTTCAGAGTTGTTGATTGTGTCAACGATTTTGTCCAACTATTCATCATCAACATTATAGACCCGCCATTAAACTTTAGCGTTTAAAACGAACCTTGCTTCAGGAGTACTCGTGAACCGTTTACAACCTGCACAAAACTTGTTCATGGTACTTGAAGTACCGATGCTGCCCATGTGTTTGCTAAACTAATTTAATAAATATCTGAATTTTTTTTCCAATTTCACTGACTTTTTATTCGTTTTTTTCTTGTTCATGAGTTTTTAACTCTCATTTGAGTAATTCAAGTCTTTTACTACTACAAATCTTGAGGGTGCTTCGTTTTTTTTGCTCCGACCATTTCAAAAATGGGGTGAACTTGGTATTCGGGCGTTTTAGTTTTTTTTCTTCTTTTTTCGAAGCAAAATGAATAACAATAAATAATCATAGGACAGTGTTGACTGATATATCATATTAAAGCCCTTTCAGTCGTAATTTGGTTGACTTTTAAAAGTTTCCACAAATTTTTCCCAATGAGGAGAAAAACCGGTTAGAATTTTTAGATTTTTCGTCTTATTTCGAGCGAAAAAAGCGAGCGAGCAGGGTTACAGCAGCTTAGTTATGCCTAATTTAAGCTCTAAAGTTTTAGTTTAAGCTAGTAAAATAAGTGTTTAGAGATTTTTAGCTCCATTTTGTGAGCCAAAAACTTCAAAAATTTTCAGAAGTTTTCTGCAAAAAAAAGTTGAAAAAAAAAGCTTTGAATTTTTATTTTTTTTTGTCTAATTTGCCTATTTTACTATGATTGTCGAATCTGCCTAACTTATAGTAAAACTTTTATCACACCACGCAGAAAAAATTTTAAAAAAATTGTTCTTCAAAGAAAAACCACTAAGAAAAAAAATGTTCTTCAAAGACTATGATCGGAACATTCTGTGCTACTTGCACAGTAGCCGGCTATCCTTGTTTTTGTTTTTGGCCTAGGTTGTATGAACCGCCCTCATCTATTCTTTAAGGCTATGATATAACAAGTTTGAATCGAAGCAACGCTAAGAACACAATTTTTGTATCAAGTTAACTTCCTCGTAAAGTTACATGTTGACTGTTGGTGTTAAGTTGGAACTTTCAATCAATCAATCGAGCATATAACGCGAAACGCTAAGAATTTTTAAAGCAAATCAAATAGTGGAATGAAGGATGTTAACTACTTGATCCTGGTTTTGTTTTAAGTGAAGCCTTCAAAAAGTGCTCAGAGACGCTGTTTTCATCTAGAAAAAAATTGGCTGCGGTAAATATTTTTTCTTGACAAAATCTGATCAGATTAGTTTTCGGTAGGGGACAAAATTTTGAATTAACTGACCCATAAACCCGTCGATTTCTTACCCACGAGAAGGTTTTGCACATGCCTGTTTCTTTTCATGCTGCGAAAACGTTGAAACTTTGTTAAATTTTTGTTGTATTCAATTTTTATTTTGGGTAAAAAAGGCACAATCTTTGTTAAGTTTCGAGTAAGTTTACGTTCGGGTTTGTTAAACGCAATCTTTCCAAGCAAAAGTGAAATAACAGCAGCCAATTTTAGACTCCGCAATGTTTCTGTTACATTCAATTGCTAATAGAATAAGGCAGCTAAGTTATTGACCATTCAAAGCAAGCAAATTGAAATTGTTTTAATATATTATTGTGTTTCCAGTATTGAGATTTTGAAGAAAAAATACATTTTTATATGGAAGGCATTTAAAGCGGCCGTCATGTAATTTTTCAGTATTTGGTTAGGTTTTCCAACCTTGGTCGCTTTTGGTGTTCCAAATGTTCAACTGCAGTTTTTTGGATTTTAGTGATAGCAATGCATAAGTGCATTTTTTTTCATGAACAAGAAAACCTGAATAAGAGCTACTGGCTATCAGTAATTTGTTATTTTTAGTTTATACGAGTGGTTTGGCTCGTGTTCTATTGAGAATTTTGGGTGGACCTATTGTTCTAGTCTCCACATCTGTGTCGATCCAAAAGAGATCAAGAATGATTGAAGTATTTATAGTATTTATTTTCTTGTCAATTGATTTACAGCACGGTTAGTTCTCGTTCTGTTTAATAGCTTTTTTCTTTTTTTGTTTATAATGAATGAGCTCTCTTCAAATCGAAGTGAATTGTGTAATTGAGTTCATGAAATTTTTTATAATGAAACGCAAGATGACAGAAGACTGAAAGATTCAAAATGGCGAGCCAGGCGGTGATAAGGCTAGAAATATGTTTCTAGAAGATAGGAAATTCAGATAGGTATAATGATTTTCTTTTTTTGTTTATAATGAATAAGCTCTCTTCAAATCGAAGTGAATTGTGTAATTGAGTTCATGAAATTTTTTATAATGAAACGCAAGATGACAGAAGACTGAAAGATTCAAAATGGCGAGCCAGGCGGTGATAAGGCTAGAAATATGTTTCTAGAAGATAGGAAATTCAGATAGGTATAATGATTTTCAAATTAACCGTACGGTACAATCCCCCCCCCCCCCCATCAAATTAAGGGGGGGGGGGGAATTTTCATAAACTAATTTTGAGCATAGCCTAGATTCATTCAAAATTAAGCGTTTTACTGAAAAAAAGTTTGAATTGAAACATTAATCTAAGCAATTGCCAGCAATGCAAATGCAATCCCGCATTCAAAAATAACAAACCAATTTTATTTGCGCGATTTCTCGAATTGCATTTTCTTTACAGAATCAATTTTCATATTTAATACATGCCCTGGGAGGGCATTCTTCTGTAGGCTCTTAGGGGGGAGGGGGGTTATGTACGGTTGATCCGGGGTTTCAAGTGCAGAAGAAGAAACATTAAGATCTATCGAAAGCCTTCCCATGTTTTGACCGACCGCGACTGAAATGTATCTAAGCGCTCTTATGTTGTCAAAATTGTATTGACATTGTCCAATTTTGTTCCGACCAATCCATGGAGTGGGAAGGAACCGTAGCCTAGGGTGGTTTTCTCGCAAAATCAGTTGCCTCAAAGAGCACTCTACTAAGAGAGAATCGGGTATGCAATTATACTAAAAACTTTTCTTTTGTTTTGATTCAAGGCACTCCTTACTGCCCAGAAAAAGACTCAGCGTTGGCTTATGTTGTATCATAAATTAATGTTTGAAAATGTTCATGAAAATTTAACAATTGGTGCTTCGGGCGAGCGAGCACTCAAGATTTACGCTTATTTTGGCCAGCCTAGAAGTCATCATCATTTGTTTTCGAAGTTCATACAAGCCATGAAAACTCCAGAACCTACCACTTCATTTTTATTTTGTAGTGAACAAAAAATTGATTAGCTTCGATGATAACTTCAGTTTGTTTAACTTCGATGATGACTTTTGTTTTGCGTGGCTAACTTTACTCGAACTTCTAAAGAATTATTTCACAAAAGCATAGCCAAGTCTCCAGAATCATTTACGAATAGTTTAGCCTAGCGGGCACTCGACAACACTCTTCATTTATTGGACGATTTTTTGAATAAATCGCGGAGGCGGTCATTGATATTTTAACAAAATATGTTTTGGCTTAGTTTATACGACCAGATTATAATTACATCGAATATATTTGCACAAAAACTTTTGCTCATATGCAGCATTGAGAGTATTAAAATGTTGTTTCGATCAAAATGTGGTTTGCTATTTGTTTAGTTTTGTTTAGTTTAGCTGGCTTGTAATTTGATGAGCTCTTTGCATATCTTGCAGTATATTTTGTGCTTTCAGGTGAGCGATGGCAGAAGCTGAACACGCCACCTGAACACGTAGAAGCTGTTTTCCAGCTATTGGACAGATGGTAATAAAAATACATTGTAAATTCGTTCTTCTCTAAACAGTTTTAAAAAGTCATTTTATTTGTTTGTACCACTATGTAAAAGTACTATTTAACTCTTCGAATTGTTCTGTATACTAAGCCATGCTTGCTGAGCTCACAGCTTGTTTGAATCTTGACTTGCTCTCAATCTATATTCGATTTGGACGACTCCAAGCTGCTGATGAATGAGAGCGTCTCTGAAAATCTGTCACTGAAGAGCCCAAAATCAAATTACTACGACTCAGAACAAACCAAAGAACACTTATTACGCTGGTATAATTTAGGCGCCAAATTTGCCACATCTAAAGAGAACAAATTACGTTCCAATTCAAATCTCGTGTTACATTGCACTTAATGCAGCTTTTCTGATGATTCTGACAATTGGCGCCAAATGATTACTTTGCATGTGTCTCGCTGGTCTGCAAGTTTGCCCCAACATCTGTTCGTTAACAGCTGGCTGCATATGCCTGTAGCGCGTTATGTGTAATTTGTATTCTGGCTGCATATGCCTGTAGCGCGTTATGTGTAATTTGTATTAGAGCTGAGTAGTTTTGGACGAATTTAGTTATTTTGGACGAATTGGGTAAATGTTAAGTATGGATTTCGGATTTGACCTGGAAGACACTTACGAGCCGGCAGTTCGTCAGCTAAAAACTGAAGAAGAAATCCAGAAGTATGTGGTCGATGAGAGTCTGGACCCTGTGAACAGGTTTGTTCACATCCTCTCGAAGGGCGAAGAGATTCAGAAGCAAAGTGCTCTCAGCAGTGCCCCCAATCTGCTCAGTCACTGTGAACCCAAGGAGAAAGAAGGGGTGTTGAAAGAGCTTTGCCGTTTTGTTGGGTCTTCCGGAGAAGACTATCACTTATTAATGGCCGAGCAATTACCACAGCTGCTGCGAGAAAGTGTGGTCAGTGAACATCTATTTTTGAAGCTCGTTTTCCCAACTGTGATTCAAGGTCTTCAATCAAGGAACTCGACAATTTCCCAAGCGTGGAACAATTGTTTATTGGAAGTGCTACCATTTCTGCCCAAAGAAGTTCTTAAAAGCGACATCCTTCCCATTGTTCGCAGAAACAGCGACCTGCGGCAGACCGTGCAAACCAGGACCTTTTCTTGTCGTCTCGTCAGCAAAATGGCCGAGCACTACGAGACCTCGCTAATCATGCAGGACTTGGTTCCCATTATCAAACATCTTTGCCAAGACATCGAGTACGAAGTGCGCTGGAACATGGGTGTAAGTCTGGTTCCAATTGTAGCCTCGGTAGATTCGAAGACCACGGTGAACATACTGCTTCCAGAGTTGATTGAATTGACCAATGATGAAGAGAAAATAGTCAAATTCAAAGCACTAGCCACTCTGGTTGACTTTGTTCCCTATCTTGACGAGGAAAGCATTTTGTCGACCGTTTTGCCAACCGTGGACAGATACATAGAGTCCACTTCGCTTAAACATGATCCAAACATAGTGGAAGTTTCACGTGTTTTTGGAGCTTTGTGCTATCATCTTGGCTCCCACTTAACCGAAGACCAGAAAAACTATTACCTCAGTTTCTTCCGCAAACTCAGCACTAACGGCCTCACAGACAGTGGATCAGGATCCAAAACTGAAAAGTATCGCCGAGATTCCACCCATTTCATGCCTTCGAACAAAACACAGGAAAGTGACATGAATGTCGATTGTCGTCAGTATGCTGCTTTCAATTTCCCCGCAATATTGCGATTCTGTGGTACCAATGATTTCTCTACACAGTTGGAGAGGTCTTTAACTAGTTTGGCTACCGATCCTGCGGTACCCGTGCGCAGAACGCTTGCCGTCGGCTTTCACGAAGTGGTTAAATATATGTCGCCAAGGTCCGTTGTTTTAGAGAACACTCTGTACCAGCTTCTGAGCGATGATAACGTTGAAATCAAAAGCGCAGTTACGAAACACTTGGATATAATTATTATCTACATGTACGATTCATCTATCAGCGATGTAACTCGGAAGAGCATGCAAGAGAAAATCGCTGAGGCCATAATCGATTGTTACGAAGCTCTACGAGTGAGTCATGACTGGAGAGCCACGGCTAACATCATCCGACATTTTTGCTCAATTCCAAATTGCTTCACAGATGAAATCACTTACAGGAAGATCTACCCACTTGTGAATGAAGTAGTGGCGTCGCATGCTGCGAGACCTATAAAAGAGGCCGCTTGTGAAACACTCGCTTGGCTTGTAAGGTCCAACAGGAAATTCGACCAGAGAACTGAGATGGTCTCAAACTTGATCACGAATCTGTCTGCCTCCCAATCATCTGCTCAACGACTCATCTTCGTCGAGCTCTGTCGGTGCTTTTCCAAAAATTTCTCCCGCAAGTTCTTCAAAGAGAACCTCTTTGAGCATGTGATTAATCTTTCAACAGACAAAGTAGTAGATGTTAGATTAGCACTTAGCAAATTTCTTCCCCATATCAAGTCCATGTTAAGACTGCCAGTTGATAGCAACCTGTTGCGAAGGCTAGAATCGGCAGTTCGCAACCTCATCAACCAAGACTACCAGAACAGACAATCAAGTACTGTGACGTCGACCATCAGACACTACCTGCAGCTATGCGACCAGCAGGAGACTATAGTGGAAACTGCGTTGGACCACGTGCCAAGAAACGAAGAAGATGTCATTGATCAAACAAAGGAAGATGAAGAGAGATCGATCGAGATGCACCACAAACAGAGACGGAGGAAATCGCTGCCAAAAACCAGCCCTCTACTAACTACATCAAAACCTAAAGTACCATCTGATTTCAACGGAAACAAGAATACGAAAAACTCGACAACATCGCCAACTTCGCACAGTAATGGATCTCTGCATGGAGGATCAGCCTCTCCCCTCTCTCCGTCGATAAAAAGCCCTGTGTCTCATTTGAACGGGAGCAAAAGTGGAAACGGCCACAACTCTCCGGCTACCAAGAAGGGATCCTTTAGGACTCATTCAAGTAGTGGAACGTTCTCGCCGATGGCAAAGAACGATCACGCAGAAAAGAAACAAAATGGAGCGCATGACTTGAGGAGGGCATCTATGCCAGTTAATCTTCCCTCCGAAACAGTCCAGAAGAAGACGGCAACTTCAAAGGCCAGTGCCAAAAAATAAACACAAGCCAGATCATCCAGTCAAAGTTTGAACTAAAAACTTCCTTTGATGTTCTGTCTTTGAATGTCAATCTATCTTTATTTTATACCGTGGATTAAAGTTGAACTTTTTTCTGCCAATATCTCTTATCAAAATTTTAGACGTTATTGTCCATAGTTGAAGTCTGATATTATATCTTGTAAATATGTAAATAATAGTATTAGAATGGTAATTGCTTAATTTACATTTTACAAGTTTGATTGAATTGGAGAGAGTATAGCATTTAGAAAGTAATTGAACGTAAAAATTAGTTGGTTTTTTTGACGCTGTTGATATTCTTGTTAACCACGGTCATAAAAACAATCTTAGCCTGTCGGCACAACGAATGCTACCACACTGATGCTAGAATACTGCGAAGACTGTTCTGCGCATAAGTTGATTCAATTTATGAGTATTGTTGTTTCTGGTATTTTTAATGGTTTTCATTAGAAATGAATATCGTTGGTGGTTTTCTTGAGTTTGCAACTGTTATAGAAGCACGCTCAGTCGGTTGTAATAGCTGGAGCTATTTAAACTGGTTTGATAGCGTATAGGTGAAGGTAGCTACCAGAAAAACATTTTCATGATTTTAAATGAGTCAAGAAACCAGATTTAGGTAACTGATTCAGCAAGGTTGTGTCAAAATTGGCGTCATGATTAATTACATTGAGATTCATCTACCGCTTTCTGCACAAGTATAACATATGGATCCCTAAAAGAATTCCAAACGTAAACTTGGCAGGAAAAAAATGCATGGAAGAAAATATTTGCTTCATCTTGTAAAGAAAGCAGCTATCACTTTTTTAAAATTTGCGATCAGCGAAATATTGCAGGAGCTACTAGAATTTTTCCCGCTTGAAACTCCGTTCTCAGACTGATCAATTCAGTCAAACAAGGTATGCTCAACACAGGTATGCTCGGTGGAGTACCTCATATTCACGTTTTCAACCTTAGTCCTAAATTTTTTGTTCAATTTTTATGTGGTCATAAACTGTTCACGAAATGCAAAGCGACTGACTTTTTTTTTTAGCTTAAGTCTCTTGAAACTGCGAGAAACTAACCATGTCTAAAAGGTCATAGCTGCAAAGCTTTAAATCACGTTATCAGATGCGATTCAACCTTTACCGATTTTTACAGGACTCTGTTTTGAACATTGACAATAGTGCATTGAACTTGGGAAAGCGAATTTTAATCAATTCATAATGGCTTCGTTATACAATGAGTAGATAACACTAGTCTGTACAAAAAAGAACTAAGTTTTAAGAAAATATGAATAAGTTTGCACTCAAACTGTTTCTTTGCTATTGACTTAGACAAGTGCCGCGAGTTCCACTGGACTTCAAATACGCAGGTGCGTAATTAAACATGTATGTCATTAGCAGATATCTAATTTATTAAAAATTTGAAAACTAATAACTGAACTTGCGAACTCACAACAATCCCCAAGGCAGGAAAAACTTTACATCTAAATAACTGGCGGGTAGTCTTTATAACACTCATGCACATGTGCAACAGAAGTTTGAAACAAAAGGATCTCAATTGCAAATAGCACCAAGGAAATAATTGAGAGAGTATGTACCAGAGTAGAAGTTTAATTCACAAAGATTTATTTACAAGCTTCATATAGATCGAACAGTTATCTGCAGGTTTGTCTTCAAAAATGAAAATAGCTCTATAATATTAAAATTGAATTGAGAATTTGCGTGGTAAAATTTATTTTTGTAGTCTAATTAGAACTAATGTGGATTAATATAAAATGAAGTTTCTATTTCCCAAAGGGTAAAATGTTGTTAAAACGACTGAAAAGAAAGCATTAAATTGAAAAGTTATAAGCAAACTTCAATCTTTGTTGAAGACCTTATGATGTAAATTGGTCGCTGTTCTTGTTTCGGTGTCTAGAATTGAGGAAATGTCTTTCAGTTCTTCTATGACCGCATTAATTTGTTTGGCCTCTGAGTTTTTCTCTCGAACTTCCCACGGGCCTGCCGGGTTTGATTAAGAACCTAAAGTCGTCGCAGTTTCTGTTGTATCCGCGATAAAGCTTTTGCGTAATGGTTTGGTCGAATGTAATTGATTGTAAAGACACCAAGTGGTTGTTTCTTAGGGGTCACTCTTTTGGATAATTTCGACCACTGGTAGTTCCGGTACTTTTTTCAAATTCATGATGACTGTCCGCTTTTGACATTTTGTCTACAAATCGCCCCTCTCCTAAAGAGGTCTACATTTCTTCGCGGTCTTTCTGAGGTGGTATGTGGTTGGATGTTTCTCTGGTGCACTGTTTACTGAGATTGGATCCGCCGCTGTGCCTTTTTTGGGAGTCACTGGTTGTCAGCTTTTCAAGTGATGTTGAAAGGCTTGAATCTAAATAGCTTTCAGATATGATAGACTGATAATCAGAAATACGCTTTTTCCTTATCACATTTAGTGGATTGTATAAAAGATTTAAGATTTTGTAGAAAATGGTTAAAGATTAAATATGACGTCGTATCCAATGGATTGTTAAGATAACCTCCATCTGAAGCTTGGCTTCTTGCTGACGTTTTCCGTTCGGTTAATCTTGTCGAAGGCTCTGCTAGTCCTGAATCAAGTCTCTGTGGGATAATTTATTTTACTTTTACCTGCTAAATTGGAAATATTTGACCCTGGACCGGTTTTACTTTCGAAGTTGTTTGGAGCAAACGTGCTCTTTTCTCTGAAGGTAAGGTCTGACTTCTTAAGGGTATGTCCGTTGTCACATGTTTCCGTGTGTTCTGATGAATTGAAACTTTCCCTTTTAATAGTCCTAAATAAGTTAGATCTTTCTTCCGATTAACAAATTTTTAAATTAGGTACCTCCTCATTAGAAAGTGTTAGATAGGTCGCTCGGCTTGACATTATTTGCTCTGTCCTTTGAGTCACTCTCTTAGCCTTTCTTTTTAGAGAATTAGTTACGCAATAGAGTACGGTTAACACAACAAAAACTCAAACGTTTTTGTTGTGTTTATCGTTTTATTGCGTAACCAGTTCTCTAGCCTAAATCAATTGAGTGTGAAACTAGGTTTTTTTCAAAAGTGATGGCTGGTCAAGTAAAGTGTGCATCTAATTGACGGTTTTTTCGTTAATATAAAATTCCAAATTATTTTATCAGTTGCTGCGTATAAAGGCAGTTTTAGCTTCATAAAAAACATTGCCGGGAGTTAAGTTTTAACTGTGTATAAGAATTTTTTAACCATTCCATTGGATCTATCATCCCCCAATGTACATAAAATTAGGTTAAGGTTGTTCGTCTCGCAAAAGTTTCTAAAGTCGTTCGAAATAAAAACGACCCATGGCCCATTCTGATTGACTTTGAGAATCCATGTAGATGACAGTAGTGTATCAAGAAATTTACAAATGACTGTAACTCTTCGGGGAAGGATAAACAATCAATACAAAACAAGATGCTTGTTGGCTCCCCAAAAATTGTCCACTAAGCCCGCGAAAACCAAATCTATTTCTTCCTTAGCTACTGTATTTTATGACAGTTTCTGTATGTTTTGATGCTACCAAAAGTACTTCTAGGTTCTTACCCGTTTTGATGCATTCTGACTATTTTCTTTTTGATAGTAATTTCGTCTGTAGATATGTGGCCACCAGATGCGTTCTGCTAACGCTTTCAATCTGAGTTGCTTCGGATATGTTCCGTAAAGAAAGGCCAGGAATAAGAATCGTAGGGCTTGTGAGGGCCACCAGTTGGTTGTCCTTAAGCAGCAATCCATCTTTGATGTGCAAGTCCCGTTAGAATGTCTAAATGTTTGTTATCAAGTTGATTTTTCTGAACAATGCCCAGTAAATCCAATAGGCAAGAATGGCAACTTTAAATTGGATTTGATGTTCAAATTATTAGCTAGTTTTTGATGAGTTTGTGACATTTAATTGTCAACGAACTTAATAGAAATTCCTTCTTTTTTATTTAATTTTACTGGAGCGTAATAAGATGCTAAAATTCAAAGTGAATTTTGACAGAACCAAAGCGACGCAGATGCTTGAGAGAAATGTTTGACTTGTCTACAAGATGTATCTAATTAACTCTTTTTACATCCTTCGGAGATTCGATAATGGAAATGTGTACCTTTTCCTTCCTTCTTTTTAAAAACTGGTGACAAAATTAAACAGTGCCAATTGTTTCGCCCCCAGCTAGTTTAAAGATTGTTTGGCTTAATGCATAATTTCAGTTGGTTGAATGCGTTCCTATGGTCAAGATTGCTGATTCAAGTATCTCCAATTTGTTTGTTTCGAAGTTGAAGTGCTATATTGTGTACTAGTTTGAGTATTCAGCATTTGGTATTTGCTTTTAAAAATCTGATCATTTGAAAATTAAGAAAATAATGCCGGTTTGATTAAAACATTTTTTTTCTGGTCATACGATTGGGGTAATTGAATAGTCTTTGTCACCTTTAGAAAATTGATAGTGTCTCCTTTTTCCATTCTTTTCAATTCCTTATTTGCATCATTCAGCAAATTAAACCGATGGAGGTTTACCAATTCGCGTGTGTAGATTTTTGAAAGTATTATACGAACTTACAATTGTGTTTGAATGTACATTAGACTTACATGAGCTTTGAGGAGACCCATTGTTAATCAGTTATAGGCATTGTCTTTGTGTAGTTTTTTTCCACATCGTCACTAATATGCCGTTTCCCAGATTGTTTCTCACGTCTTTTTTAATTATCCATCCATTGGGTCGCACTGATTTATTCTTTTCCTATAATTTTGTTGGTATCGTCTGCAAAACTGCAATATACTGTTCGTGACTTCTTGTCGAAAGGTGAAAGCAAAAAATTTGTCAGTTTTGCTCCGTGAATTACTTTAATTTGAAAAGATAAGAGGGCTTGTCGATTCCACTGGAGTGTTCATATTTACAATTGTGTCGCATCCTAATTCGAGTTGTTAACTTTTTCGCTTCTAAGCCGTTGCAGTCGTATATGGTTTCAACTTTAAGGTTCAAAAAGTTGTCGTCTTTGCCTTCTCCACTGACCAAGCGTTCATCACTCCACAGATTTTTTCTTCCATAATAATAGGTTCCGATAGGTTATATTGACAACTCTGAGTATTTATAACCTCTTCTACTTTATATACAGCCGGTTTCTTGGCGCTTGATTTACATATCTTACCTAAGTGTTTTTTGTTATTAAACATATTACATAGGATTTATTTCGCTGGACACACTTTGAGATGGCCTTCGATATGGGCGTTTCGACATTTCATACAGTTTGGTTTTTGTATGTTCAGAATGG